TAGCTGAGTAATACTCCATTGTATAAAAATACCACATCTTTTTCATCCATTCCTCAGGTGATGGGCATCTTGGTTGTTTCCAAGATTTGGCTCTCACAAATTGCAGCATCCACTCTTGAGTTGTGAGCTCAGCTGGCCTCTCTGGAGTGGGACAGCTGACCCTTATTACTCATTAAAAAAAAAAAAAGAAAACAGCCATAATACCTCCCCTTTGTCCCAAAACTTGTTTCTCTGTTGACATCCCATAGCTTTGATTATAGATCCTCTTATGTTTAATTATATTTTAGTTGTGCAGTTTTCTAAGTAGTCATTTTATTACTATGTGATTCTCTATATGTAGGCACTATGTGTTCTTACAATTTTTACCAAGCTAATGTAATTCTAAAGCATGTTTAGCTACATAGTATTCTAATATCACCATCATTGGAATAAATGCATGTAAAACCAGTAAGCACAAGTTATTATTTCCAAAGTGAGAAAAATCAATTCTAAATTGTTTGGAGCTGCAGGACTCTGGTAAACTCTGACCTTCCTTAGCCCACAGAGCACAGGCCTGGAGCTTTTGCTGGTGCTGGTCCAAACTTTTAAGAATTTAGGAGGACTCTGAGTGGCCTGCAGGATGCAGGAGAGCTGCGCTTTGTGCGCCTAGTGCAAGCAGGTGTGGAGCTTTCCTGGAGCCATTTAAGAACTTTTGTGGATTCTGCGTGGCCTGCAGGACTCTGGGTGATTACTGGAAGCTTCAAAAATGCCAAAATGCAGGAGCACATACTATGGTTTCTCTTCAGATCGTATAAATCTTCTGCCTTTTACCAAAACACAGCAGCAAAAGGCAATGTAAATCCTCCAGTGCCCACCCTCCCAAACAAATCCAGGAAATGAAGACAAACAGGAACTTGGAAGTCACACACTGGAAATCTCTGAAATGATAGCAACTGAAGTAAAGAAACAAGTCCATCAGGCTATAGAAGAAATAAGAGCAGAAATAGTCTCTCAGGTCAAAAAAAATTGTGAAAGAATTGTGCAGTACAACTAAAGAAGACATAGATAGAAAAACAGAAGCAAATAGAAAAATGATGGAAACCCTGAGTGAATAACACAGGAAAGAATTAGAATGCATGAAACAGATTTTAACAGCTATCTATGACTGACAATGTCAACCTCTAACTAAAAATCATCTGAAGAAATAAAGAAGAGGAAGAGATAACAATTATGTATGCATCCAATATAGGAGCACCCTCCTACATAAGACAAAATTTTTAAATTTTAATTTTATTGAGAAACACATATGAATGAGACAGTTTCAAAGTTGAATAACAGGACAGTTTCGATAATCAATACATTGTACATTGTTATCTTCTTAGTGGTTATTCACAGTACAAGAAGCAGACAGGATATCCTGTCCAAACACTATCAATACACCTCTTTCTTATTGAATTAAGCGAAAGTAGCTGTCTATCTATCCTAAGTATTTTGTATATATAAATACAAAATGATCTTTCCTTTGAATCCCCTTTTTTTTGTTTAGTCCTGTCAGAGGTGGGTATTCTATTGGCATCTAAATACTATAGGTGTTTGAATTCAACTAAACAATCTAACACTGTCCAGCAGTCTATAATATTAGTGGGTTATACTTAGAAGTTATTGACTTGAGCCTGTTACAGCTTATTGTATTAATATGGCTTTACTTCATATACCTTGTTTTTATACTTTTCCACTGGATGGTTAAGACCAAGATAAAGCAAGACCTATATAACAAGAAATGTAACTTTTGTATCTGATAAGGTCAGTCAAATACCATCAGGATTTATCCTGTAGCCCTGTACCGTACTTTGTAGATCCTTTGTCAGTGTCAGCCATGAGGATGAGTCACGACCATTACTTGACCACTGTGTTCTCTGTGAAAGCCTGAGAGAATGTTTTCTCTCCATGTGACTCTCCCCAGGCACACTATATATCATCGATCACATTCCTCTGTGGCTTCATAATCTCCTTGATCAGAAAATTTGGAGCACAACTGAGTTACATGATGTTACAGTACAGTTTCTCTTATGTCCTGAGTCTTCACTGACCTTGAAAGGCTAGAGCCAAAATGTTGGCTGACCTTGTAGCCCTTTCTTTTCTCCAATTTTGATCTGCTAACTTAGGTTGTTAACCCTTCAGAACAGAAGCTTATTATTAACCTGCAATATATGCAGTTTGGTTCACCCTATCTGATAAGACAAATTTTAACAGACATGAAAAATCAAATGAGCAGCAATACAATAGCAGTTGGGGACTTTAACAAAGTCTATCTCTTTGTGGGGACTGTCACAAAGAGATAGATCAACTAGGCAAAAAAATCAGCAAAGAAATAATAAGTACTAAACCAGACTCATGAAGAAATTGACTTGTAGACCTTTACAGAGTGTTTCATGCAGCAACAGAATATACATTGTGCTCAGCTGCACAGGGGACATTCTCCAAAACAGACCATAATCTAGCACACAGAGCATTCTTGGTAAGTGCAAAGGAACTGAAATTATCTCATGCAAACTATCTGATCACAATGCAATGAAACTGGAAATTATTGGCAAAAAACCTATAAAAACACCATAAGCACATGGAAAGTAAATAACAACCTCCTAAACAACCAGTGGGTCACAGATGAAATTAAAGAATAAATTATTATTATT